TAACTGGCAAATTTCAACAACTGATATTACGAGCGAACTGTGATCTCACCAAATCATCATTTAATTGCATTCAATCATCCAAGCACAATGCTTTGAGCTAGTTCGAAGTGTAGACATACCATCGATATTCATTGTGAAACCGAAAATGGGCCAAGTTAATCCGCAGTCTCCAGTGAAATCCGCACGTTCGAATCCTTGCAGGCCAAAGTTTGCTGTACCAGTAATCTGTTATATCTATCCAGAGTTTTTGCGCAAATCAACATCCACAGAAGTGTTCTGGCATTTTGCTTACATTTAAATATTCGCATTTAGTGGCAACTCAAGTCACTAAAACACTACAGAATTGGTGATTGACTCAGAAGTCGAAAATGCTTTAACTTTTTTCAATTCAGCATTTTACGTGGGCTGCGGGTGAAGACGTCAATTTCGACAGCGATCACTCCTGAGACCACCGGTTGTGTCGCCGCGGTGCCAACCCCGTTACCCCCTCCGCCTTATCCTACACCGCCATTTTTTTCATCCACGCATGCGTGCATATTTACCGAGGCTGAGTAGTAACTTGAAGTGGGGGGAAGGTGAGTAATGCAGTCTGATTTGTGGGCACGTTTTGGAGATGGAGCTGCCAGATGGAATCCCACTTCCCGTTGAAGACAAACTATAAATCAGACCTCTTGACTGTTTGGGACCTCACATTGGCAAACTCTCCCCCCTTAGGAACTAAATGCGTCCCAGTTTTGCTGCAGATAATGATGGATTGAATGTAAGTAAAAAACGCCCATTCTATGTGGACGAAAATGCAGAAGTTCACTCCAAAATGGTGTAAAGGGAAAAGGGTTCGGATGATGGAAGCCGATTTGAAAGCTCACAATTTACTCGTAGTCCTCTAATAATAATAATAAAGCAGTGCAGGGGCAGATGATTATCCCGTAGCATTGGGTCAGGAGGGCGAGAGCAGAAGGCGGAGGGATTACATGCCACCGAAATATGGGTTCAGTTAGGACCGCCGTTTCACGCGACCATTTTTCCTGCACTGAAAGCCAATCCATCGGGACCTAATGGCAGACGTGTTGTGAGTGCGGTCAAGAACTTCGGGCCTCGAAATTAAAACGTCCCATACAAAATTAACATGGTCAATTCAGTCCATGCTGTTTCCTTCTTCGGCTTTTGGGTTAAGGCAGATTAACGTGAATGAGGTGCAACTTAATGATGGCTTCTGTCGAGGTCTTGCGTGCAGATAACCTAGCGGTACTGCGTTAGGACCTTCAACATTTTATGGCCCCAGAAATGCTATTGCAGTATTTGGATAACAAGGTTCTAAAAATTCGCCGGTCAATTTTCAAAAATCCTAGGTCCCGATCGCTTCAGTAGTCATGCTAAACGATGAGGTAAATTTAGGGGATCGAACCACATACTGATGCAAATAATTTTATCTCTGTTCTCCTCTTTGTTTATCTCTCTGACGCCTTGACAATTCGTGCATGCTAAACACCGACCACCCCCCGTCCAGTTCTCGTCGTCCACCCCCGTCTTTTCATGTGACAGGTACTACGACGACGCACTCGTGTGCACGTCGACCACGACCAATCAGAAAGGAGCCGAGAGACCTTTGATTGGCTGAGATCACCGTGGCGCGGCCACTGCACAGGCGAACGGACGCCATGACTGCGGAGTTCATTTTGGAAAGTTCAGCCCTCCCTTCTGCACCCTCTAGGAAGAGCGGACTTTTCTCAACACCGTCAACCCATGACGCGATTAGCCTCATCGAAGCCTGGGTAAGTACTCTTGACCAAATTGACACATCCTAACCTAACTAATTTGAAAAAAAAATAGAAAAACATAATGGCATTTCATTTACCGCAGATGCAGCACTGCCGTCTTAGTACCCAATACAAGAGATTGGGCTGCATTATTAGCATCCGAATTAGGCCGGTTCACACATGACTGCAGTGCTTTTACGCGATGGAATTAATTACATATAATGCTAAATGCTATCCGACTTGAGTTAAACCAAACGGATTTGATCATAACCTAAGTAAGAGATGATGCTAGGGGATACGTGAGACCATGTTCTGTTGGGGTCAGACTATGCAAAATCGTTAATACTTAGCGTGAATAGTTGCAACTTTTGTGTTGGTACCACGTGCAAGTATCTCCGCCCTGTTTTTCTCTTGGGCAGCAAAGCAGCAAATTTCCACCAGCAGACAACAGTGCCAGAGCGTCGATTTGGTTTATAATAGTAAGTGTATTAAATGCCTTGTAAAGCCTCCTGTTCACTTTGTTTTTCTTTTCGCCAAAAGGATGATTTGGCAGGACGTCGCAAACTGATAAACACGCATGCGAACGCTTACATCAGGCGTTTTTATATTCTGCCACTTGGGAAGACCAACAACGATCAACTGATATAAAAGACAAGAAACGAAATTGTTCAGTTTAGGGCAAGCTATCTTGTCTAGTTGCAGACAAGCAGAAGGAGGTAGCATATTGCTAGAGTGATCTGACAAGCATAATTAGTGAAAATATCAGAATTCTCTAAATGCTCTGGTTTGGTTTCTTGCGATTATGCGTCCTAGTAGCAGTAGGTTCTTGAAAAAAGGATGTTTCAGAACCATTGTTTTTGCCATATGAAAGACGCATCGTCTCGACAGTTCTTCGTGTTCACAGAACTGTCGGAGTTTCGAAGCTGCGTTTCGCCTGTCAATTGAAGAAGCGCTGATCGTTAACTTCACTTATTCTGCATTGATGACGTTGGCAGTTTAAATTGCAAATACAGCATATGTGAGTGTGACATTACTAATATTTACCACATAGCGAGATGTTTATCAGTGAAGAACTGCATTCGTTTATTCCCTGACCACTTTAGTTGGGATTCGCGACCTGTCTATCCACTGCAAAGTTAACAACATTGTTACTGCTAGGCTACCGTGAAATGACAGTCATTGTTTTTCAGTCATGTTTTGCCTAAACAACGAAATCGCCATTCTCCACTAATGGCCTAAACGAGGGGCAGTCAGCCAGTTGCAACCCAACGTCCCACTCAATCTCAAGAAGCAGCTACCGACGTCACAATTTTATTTTGGCTCAAAAGCATGAACTTGATTAATTCGAAGTGGACATCTGACGTCTGTGGGCATCCACGTTCTGTTGTTGTCGACGGCTGGATGGACTTTAAGATCAACACGTTAATGCCTACAATTGGCACGTATATTTGAGTGAATCATGGGAATGCACTGAGTACGTGGGATAAAATGGGGAGACTTGACAGGTGGCCTGGTCATCGTTGCCTTTGTCCAGCTACTTCCCATTCCAGGCCGTGTCAAATGCGGCCCAGATGGGAAATCCATCTTTGTGGTCCAAGTTAAACCTTATCCACGATTGCAAGCTCACAGTTGATAGGCGATTCACGCATCCATTCTAGTAAATTCTTCTTCCCCAGATATTAGATTCGAAGGCAAGTGTCGTTTCAGTTTTAAAAAACGTACAAGAATAATCGCTTGAGTAAATGTCGTCGTGAAGAATGTTTGGTCTAGCACATTTCATTTGTATTTTCACTTGAAAACTGGGTTGGAGCTGTCTTAAACAGCGAAGAGAATAGTATTTCCTACTGCCTAAACTAAAGCTTACAATTATCTCTGTTGTAGAAAGAGGTATTTCGATAGAGAATTGGAGATTTCAAGCCATGAACAAGAGCATGTCTGATTTTAGCTTCTCACTAGATTATTTGGGAACACGAGTTTTCATTTGAGATCAGCTTTTCCCGCTGATTACCTATCAAAATCAATGAAAATATTGCGCCATTTGAGTCACTTAGATAAAATAAAACTTTATAAATGTTTGGGCCCAAAATATTGGTACAGATGTCGGATTAATCTGGATAATCCACGACTAAAATTGCAAGCAATGGTGGTGTTTAGAGCCTCATCTGTTCCTATTTTGTCCAACTAAAATTGTTTGTTAGTTAAAATAAAACCAAGTCATTCACATAAATTGACGAAAACGCCAATTTTAACTGGTCGTAACGTAGACTCGATGGGAGCCGATTTCGCGTCAGAACTCAACGCCACGGCCACTCTGCCTCGGTTGTCGTTGTAAGCATTAATGTTAGGGTAGGAGTGGAAATCAGGGGTTACAAAGCACAATTAATGGGGTCACATCGGGTGAACTGAGATACCGAACCTCCAACCAAATCCAGCATTTATTGAGCCTGACAAGATGCTGTTGATCTCATTTTGGGCCTGCCTTTGATATAATTTACGAGAACTGCCTTTTCTCTAGAAGTTGTTAAGACTAAATTGTGTCATCAAGTAATCACAGTCAAATCATTTTGATGCCTGATTTTGGAATATACAGGTCAACATACCTAGTAAATTTAGAAACCGCACAACGTGGGGGTAATGATGGCACTTGGGAGACCAAACGTGCGATTCCTCTGATGCATTAATTCTTCGCTTAACTTGTTCACTCTTTTTATGTTTATCAAGGAAAGCAGCAATGCAGGTCACGACCGAAAATTTGGTTACTCTCGTTTTCCTCCTCATTCAGGCTGGTACGTCCAAATACTTGTTTATCAATTTCATTATAACATTGGATGGTTGTGTTGCCTTGAGTATTTTGACTAAAATCAGCCCAGCCTTGTTCATTACCCTTGCTTGTCTGAAATACCACTACCCTCCCGGGGATGTGATGAGACGACTTAAGCACTCAGTATGCCCTAGCGACTAAATAAGAAGCGCGTTTGGGCAGCCAAGGGAGTTAGTGTTGGCATTTACTGCTCCTGCAACATGTGTGTAGTCATCATCACTTGTGTGTGTGTGCGGGTGGGTGTGCGTATGTGTGATCGAGTGACGTCTACGACGTCCCTGCCCTCCTAACCCCGCTTGAAGAGCTGCAAGTGCAGCCGCAGGTTCTGTTTACTTAACCGTCCCACAAGACCAGAACGCACGGGTTTAATTTTATTGCAAAGGTTTTATTGTATATAAAACTAGAGCCCGATCATGAGGAAGGGAGTGCGGCGAAAGCTAGAAGGGGATGTGAATTGCGTGTTAGTGCAAGGGAAGAGGAGGAGCCAGGTAGGACATAGCCAGCTAACGTTTAACCTGGAATTAATTGACCTACCATCGACGTGATGGGAAGCATTGTTAGTGATAACTGTCAATGGAATTTGCTGAACTACTTGGCATCCCTACAATTCTTACAATATGGAACTCACTGAATAAAGCTCCGTGCTGGGCGTCAGGGAGTACGATGGGCCAAGTGTCCTGAGCTCACGCTCTTTCAAGATTCAAAAATTTACATTTTCCAAAGTTCTGGCTGGACTGCATGATAGGATGGGAACTTTAGCACATTATGGGTTTAGTTATCTTTGGTGTTTGTTGAATTATGCATATCTGGCATATCGGGCGGCTATCATTTGGAATGACTCCACATTAAATACTTCTAACTACTTATGAGGAATCATATAGTGTAGTCCGTTTCAAGTTACTGCGCCTTCCTTTTATTTGTTTGTCAACCGCACTAAGGTTTCCTCAGTGCCTAGCTTCTTTTTATCACCAAACATCTCTAACCAGAGATTTTGTTTAAAGTCACTGATTCGCTTGTTGAATTACATAAAGTGATTTCTAGTAGCCTTACAAATATGACCCTCCTAGAGAATTGCAACCTTCTTTTCCACAGAAACTTTTGGCATCAAATTTCTTTGGCTAGTTCAGTTAAAGAGTGTTCTTAAACAAGAAACCTGTTCTCCAATTCGACGAACAAGGAGCTGCTAACAATGAAACATTGTAAAGATCTAGTACTTTAGGAAAACTGCTTACTCAGTAAATCTTCCTCAAAAAGAACCTTACTCGAATTGGCGGCTCTGTACGTCTTTTTACTGGAGGCGTTCCTTTTAAGGCAATTGTTGTGTTATCGTAAAATACAACTATCAGTATCACAGTGATGTTTGATACCTGGTAGAAGAGAACTGCGCTTGTCTAATCACCACAACTCCAGCCAAATGGGTGGATTTGTCACCCTGCAAAATGCTTTCATGGTGCAAGTTGAAGGTCTTAAGGCTTAATCTTAATCCACAACAATTCTTCCTATCATTATTTCGGATCGTAGTTCCAGAGGTGAAAGTTGTCCCCAAGTTGGAACGAATGACTGTCCCGTCCCCGTGGCAAGTTTGATGTTTGACAGAGGCAAAAAATAAACAAATTGTCTGTTGTGATTCATCCAAAAAAATTGCCTTGAGGGTGGCACGTCCAAACTGTCGGATGGGAAATCACGCACGCTTGAATGTCAGGTGTTGACTTACCTCACAAGGCTCCTATAATGAGGACTGATAACGTTTATGGATGTCAAGATAGTAAATTACTGACTTGTCAGATGCTGTCAAACAGACTTGCCCCTTACCCGCTGTTATTGCGGTGATATTTGGGCACCAAATGGCACTCTCTTGTCAATAGTTGAAATAACGAGTGTTTGACGCATAAAAACGAATCTAATTCGTCAAACAATCCAAACAACCATATTTGGGCTTCTACGGGGCCCTTCATAATATTTGCCAGAGGCACTCGTGCCCGTCAAAGCGACCGCCAGTCCACAAATGGTCGGTTAAGAACCCACATCCTGAGTGCCTGACTTTACACATCTAAAAAACCCAATGTGTCTTTTCGCCTGTGTGTCTTTGACTGAAAACCAGGTCGTAATGCCAATGTTTTCTCAGTACAAACCACAACTTGGAAATTTGTGAGTGGCGCTCCGGCGGGTTTTTTGTGCAGGTAGGAGGCCTTTGTTTACTTCTAAAACAGGCGCAAAGACTGACACCGCTCTCTGGTAGGGTGTGATTCACGGGGTAAGATCGTTTGGGTTACTTGGTGAAATCAAATGTCTTTGTGAATGTGAGCTGCTGAATGGTGCCTGGTGCTCAAAACTGCATTAAATATAATGGTGAGACACTCTGCCTCTTGAGCATGTATAAAAAAGTCAGATTTCCTCCCCGTTAGTATGGAAACAATAGGTTCGGAGTGTCCGTCTAGTGGTGCTCGTTTTTTAATTGCAGTCTGACCAGATAGTTTCATGGTGAGTCATGGTGAGTTTTACATGGGCGTTGGTAGACCATTCAGCCAACGCACGTGCATCCCTTGGCCCATCGTGGGCGTGAAGTTCTGCCAGCAGGCAACCATGCAGCGTGTTCATGATTTCAAAGGTCTTTCTGAACCATCGCCTGTTAGACGACCGACCGATCACGATGGATGGCTCACGGCGGACCTTGCACTGGCAACATGTTAGGCGCTTTCAGATGCACCATTTAAATTCAAGACGAGACGGTGTGTACCGTTGTGTACGAGGTGGTTTGATTAAGATTTGTGTCTGTATTACGTGTTGGTATTGCTAATGGCTTATCCATACGTAGAAGAATAATGTTGGGCTATTTAGATTGGTAGTTCCCACCAAATTTGCGAATTCAACTCTGGTTATGGTCGTTTGATGGCACCCTACGGTTGACCGCATTTTAAACGCCAACGTACTCATTCAAATCTAGTCTAATTTATATTTCCTACCGCCGGAATGGTTGCATTGCTGAAATCTGGTGTTTTTCCTCAAGAGGGTCATATTATGTGATGATTTGTAACATAGCTGTTATTAATAAATTTTCTTACTGTAACATGTACGTTGCTTTTGTGCATCGAGTTTCATAAACTTCACAAAGGTGCACGTTCCTTTTGTCTTCAGTTTCAGCAAACGTCCCCGTAGTTGGTGCCCACAACCGACGAGTTAACATCCATGTGGGTGACCGCCTCCGTCTGGAATGCCCTATTAGGGGTTCAAATGCGGGCTCGCTTAACGGAAAAACTGAGGAGAATTCACATTTTCTTCGAGGAGGTCTGATGGACAATATTATGTACCAGTGGAATATACAGGGACTTCCAGAGTACGCAATTACAATGGACACTAAGTTCCGATTTCTTGAAGGCGGCAGGATTGTTGAATTAACTCATCCAGTTACCAAGTCAGATGCGGGGATCTACCAGTGTTCAGGAGTGACTGGATTCGGCCAAAAGAAGGTCACATTTGAGGTTTATATTACGGGTGCGTCCACATTTTGCTAATTTTACTTCTGGGCTAAAGTGGCCAGGGCCCTTAAACAAGTTTGCTTCAGGTCTAGATAGGTGATAGCCAAGCAGCTTACAAACCATTCTATGCAGAACCTAATCAACGTGGTCCTAATTGATTACTTAATTTGGAATGGGTCGAAATTTTAATCACCGTTGGCTTCGGCCATATGAATCACAACATAACAATCTACAACCGAAATATTTGCCTAGCCACGTGTCAGAAAACGCCTGCAGTCTCATGGCAGGATTACCCAAAAATGTGGGCAGTCAACAGCCAAATGTTTAAGGCATCTTTTTCGACAAGTACGTGTTTGCTTAGAAAAGCGTCGATTCTGCCAACTCTTTAGTCGATTTTCCCACATCTAAACTGCCAAGGTGTAAACTGCAATGCAGGCTTGCCTAGCTTATGCGGAACACCGTGGTAAATTAGTCACGGTAGGGAGGATCAATCGATTGGAGAATGGAGAAAATGCGTCAGTGGATTAACCTGACCTTTGGCTCGACACAAGGCCTGGCATATCGCCGCAGGCACTTTCCTGCAAACTGTCAAATTGCTCCAATTAAGGGCTTAATGATGTGACATTTGCCAGTGCTTTTTTCACTCTGACTGTGGAAGTTTTCTTTACCAGCCATCATTTCCTTTGTCTTGAATTCTATACAATGCATGTTTTCTCAGGCCTCTAAACCATGAGCCATAAGCTAATCAAGCAATTTCTCGTCAAAACTGCAATAACTCACCAGAGTAAACGCAGACATCTTAAAAAAGTGGCAATGTAAGGAGTTTTCAGGGGCCTGGTATTCGAGGGGCAAAGTCGAAATTATTTTCCCTGCTTACTAATCAACTTCAGGCCACCTGATTTCATAAATTAAATCAGCAACGGCGGTTTGAAAATGTAAATATGTGCAAAAGACCATCGATGATTGCTATTCACGTAACCCTGAACAGAAGAAAGTTAACCCAATGAGCATTTCCTTTATTCAATTAGTCGTTAATAAAACATTTTTAAATTAAAAATTTTTCACCTAGACTAATCCACTCTTCAATAATTGATCAAAAATCAACTGATAACATCACGTGCCAACTAGTAAAAGCCTAAAACAGAAACTTGCTAGACCAGAGAGTCATGAATTCAAGTTTCTATTGAATGGTGCCCGGACATTGTACGCTAGGAGTCCCTGTCCTTCCTAGCGGTAACTCAGCAATGCCAATCAGGTTTTGCATCCAACCGACACTGGTATGAGTCTTTTTAGAGCCCGCCATAGTGAAGCGACTCAATTCCTATTTGAATAAATGCCGGAATAACAGTCATTCATGCAAGTGGTTCCTATAACCGAGGTACTTGCCCTTACTTGGATGTGAAAATTTTGAAATACACACAAAACCAGTACTAATAACAGTCCTGAAGCAACATTAAAAAGCAACGCAATTTTTACTTGTAGATACGAATGAAGACTTACTGTGTACCAAAACACATCCTGGAGCTACAGATCGCAATCAAGGTTTGTCCGTTTGTTGTAATTAAAGTGTAGTCACAACACTGTCGCAATCTGGGCTAAAAAACAATGAATGCAATTAAGTGTTTTGGTGATAGACCTTGTTGTTTTGTAGTTCACCTTTAGTTAATGCACATTTTATTTGCTTCCGTGATTGTATTAGGCTGAGAAAGTCTTTGTTAGGACAAACGGCGTGTCCATTTTAGGTAAGCTCAAGTAGGGACTCATTCAGACATGTTAACGAAACACTTAAGCTAGAATTTACTCGATACACTCGACCTAGGGGAACTCACAGCAATAGAACTGGAAGTCGGATTTCATCAGAGTCCCAAGTTCATGTTCGAGGGCAAAATAGACACAGCAGCTATTTAATGTTTCGTTTGTGAATGCCGAACTCAGTTGGACGAGGTGCTTGTGGCAGTGAGATCACGTGGTCGAAAGTACCTGCGCCCACTATGGTACATTCGAGTTAAGAAGAAAGATGCAAATTCTCCTAACTGTTAATTGTCTGAAACGTGTTTATCATAACAATATTAATTTAACGTGTTCGATGCAAATTACTTCAATAAGAAGTTCACCCAAGTCTATTCTTCCTTCGAATAGTGCTTTGCTTTATCAACCCGGACCTTCGGCCCAGTACCGTAAAGACAGTGGAAGCCCAGCTCGGGTCTTCGGTCGACATGAACTGCGAAGCATTTGGTCGAGAACCGATCAAATATGTGTGGTTCATGGGAAATGTAGTTGCCGATTGGATATCAAGTGGAAAGGGTGTTCGTGGCCCTCAGCTGCACATCGGACACGTTGGCCGAGAACACGTTGGACAGTACACCTGCCAGGTGAAAAACCCCGTGGGCACTCTCAACTACACCTATCGCCTAATCGTGAAAGGTGGGCACACTTTAAATGGCAAACAATTATCAGCTATTCTCTTTCTGGCTCATTTGATTAGAATTTGATTCTCGGCTTACAGAACCGCCGGCTGCGATCCCAAAGATAGTCGGAGAAGTGGAAAATCAGACTCTCATCGCTGGATCGAGCGGAACGTTAACGTGTCGTGTCAAATGCTCTTGCTCAGAACCCATCATTCAGGTAGGCCTCCACCGTAGCTGCATGACACAGTTGGACTTTTAGGTTATACTATTCATGAATAATCTCATTGAGACTGACCATTAGTCTCATGGAGTACATTAAACATTAACTGGGCATATTTTAAAGCTATACCGAAGTGAAAGCTACGAATAGAGCATTGTTCGCCTGCTGAAATTTTTTGAACATCTGGACTTAGTGGCCACTGATTGTCTTTCTTCCAGTCTGTTGGTCATGTCAATTTCTATTACAGTTTTATTGTTGACTGGAGAACGCAAAGCGATGAAAGAGCGAGATGAAAATTTAGAAGAAAAACAATAAGGTCAACTCATCTTAGTTTTCCAGAATGAGAGAAATTCCCCTTTACTTAAGCAGCGTGAGGATCAAACTTATGCAGAGGTTACGTTGAATTCTTCCTTTGAAAAGGGTTTTACGCGTGTTCATAATTTCCCTGAATTTCTAATTGTTGAATTAGATCATCCGGTGCCAAGTTCTGAGGCGTTCCCTCAAAACGGTATTCACAATGTCAGTAAACCTTTGTTAAGAGAACTTCTCATTGTTTCCCTCAAGAACTATCCACTTCCCTGTACTGGAGTCACATGTAGCAAAAGGTACTTACATTGGGAAGTTATTTAAGGAGCCTCACTCTACACTGGCGCTCACCATTGCAGGCACTAGCAGCTGGCCGAGTGGAGCTTAAGTCGTGGACAGCTGCGTCTCGATAATAATAAAAATGTTTAATCTTCCGTCATAAATGAAAAAGACAAATAGAAAAAAAAGGGTTCTGTGTGAACTGAGAACTGAGTCACCTTATAAATGCCTCTAATCCATGGTTTTATTGATTTTTTGAGCGTCTTCCCAGTATTCCATTCCTGAAGTTAACTTAATCTCTACCCTTGCAATTAATTCGCTCGCAGGTATTTCTCGAGGCAGTATTGTGACTTGCTGCCTGTCTTGCGTTTGAGCCTGTACTACAACAAGTATTCAAAATATCCTGTGGTTGAGCAATATTTGGACTCAAAACCACAGTACACTAGCTTTTTGGGGCCTAAATTCTAGATTACAAAGTCCCCTTTAGACTGTGCTATAGGCACCATGACTCGGAAATAAGTGCGCATGTGTGACTTCAAAAATGAAATTCGCAGAGGAGATTTAAGTGGAGAATAAACCACTGCTACTTCAGCTGTTGCAAAGACGGCTGGGTGGATGTCGTGAAATTCGCATTTCGAAAACGTCCACGAACGAAAAGTTCCACCTATCTATCGAACCCTGTAATTAGTGTCTCCGCTCAGAAGGTTGCAAATAGTGTGTTACTAGTGACAAGTTTCATCGCATCACCTTCGTGCACACAGTTAACTCAAACGGACAAGCTCGTTCTTGCTCATTTTTTACGCCTAATAATAGCGATCACCTCAAACATGTTTAATATTAAAGTTAAATCAAAGAAACAGCCCGTTATTTACCTTCTCAATTTTGGACTTGAATTACGGTTAATCCAAAGCTGTTCCGATTTTAATGATAGTTTAACAGTGTCGTAGAACACAAAAGCTTCTGCTGAATCATGCATATAATTTAAATTAATGAACGAAGAAAATTATTCTGTTACCCATATTGTGACAGAGTAACAGGCAGGAATCGATATCTTCTCTTGGGGCTCAAGAGGGCATGGAATTGTACACGACGCGTTCAGTTGCGCTCTCAATAATAGTGCATCAAGTGACATTAAGTAGGGCTTGTATGGGAAGCGGTGTTATGTGCAAAACTGGTTTTCTTGTGCTACACAATTTACGAAAAAAGAGTGAATTTGAAAAAAAAATTATGTTAAGAGACTCGATGTCGAATAAGGATTTGGCTGACTGAAAATAAATGTTTTGGAACTAGAATTGATCACCCCGTGGTAAATATGTATGAAAGGCGTGAGGGACTAAAAAAGGGTCGATAAAAGTTGATTGGAGTTCTTCTTTGTCAGGACTACTTTGGTATACAAAGCCAGGAGGTATTAACTGAAATGTTCGTGTCAATGTGATGGTGGGATGCCCTCGCGTATCACTGAACATCTTGAGCACACAAAATGCCCACTTTTGTCGTCAACATAAAACTGAGTTCAGTATTTAGAATGATATAAGTTTGCAAGAGCGACTTTTCCCTTGTGGAAGCTTCCTGTACATTGTGTTTTTTTCAAGACACCCCTTTATCATTGCCTTAGTGGTTGAAGCGTGTTGACTCGGAAGAAATAGAGGCTTACAAGGAGGCAGGAAAGTCGCTGATGCCCTTGCCCTTCCCCAGACCTGCAGAGGCGAACGAATTCTTCCTGGCTCTGGAGAAGTGGGAAGATGCGCCAGCCTACATGGAGGAAACCATCATGTACCGTCAAAAGTTGACGCCGATGCACGCAGAGGAGGTTACAATTCCAGAACACGATTTTCTTAAGGCACAAACTAATGTTGTGGAGGAGAAAATTTTCGTCTCCATTCTTCGACTCCGGGGTCCGGTCAACAGTGAGCTGCATTCCGGCAAGTATGTGGTCATGACAATGAGTAGAGCCAACCTCAAAGTCATTGACTACGCAGTTGCCTATGTAAATATTGTGCCAAGTAAGTTCAGTGACATTTATGCTAGGCAGGCGTGTTGGGTTTGTTTAAGTGCGAGTATTCAGTTCAGCCACATGGCAAAAGCGAATCTCTTATTAGTCATTTGAATAGTGGTGACGAATTGGAAGGTGGTTCAAGCAATCATTTAAACAAAGTAAACACAATTCACTGCTCATCTGGCCTTAAGACCTGTTAAAATAGCACATTTAGTTTCGTGTTTCAGAAAATTATAAAGCCTTAAATAAAGCTTTATACATTCATGTATTTGAATGAACATATTTTGAAAATCTTTGTCCAGGTTGCAAAACCAATAGCAGACAACTTAAATCTGCCTATCTGGACTTGACTAGGTGTCAACTGATAAACCTTTTTGATTCCAAATTTTTTTTCTATTTTAGGATCGTTCACGTCAACGGTACACAACATCATGGTCTACTGCATTGTTCCAATAGTTCTAATTCTTGCAACTGTCTTCATCTCGCTCTACTGCTTTTTAAGTCGCAGGAACAAGGAAAACCAGCGTCTTGTTCCACGATGCAGTGGCGCCATGTTTACCCCGGTGGTTAGGGGCCACGCCTATCCCGGGGGCAAGAAGGCATACCAACCGATTGTCCGTCAAACCCCCCAGTCATCAGTCCTCTCCAATGGGAACACAATTTCCAACGAGAGCAAAACCTCCTCCAGTTTGCCACCCTACGTGACTCACTCTTCCAGCCTTCAATGGCATGCAACGCCTGTCCACTCGAACTCCATCCACAACTTCCCATCGCACCTCTCCTACCCCCAGTCGCAACTAACTCCTTCTCCGTCTAGTTTTTATAATTACTCAGGTCTACTATCGATGGCAAATCAGCCCACTTACTGGCACCCACGAGCACCTTCGGCTGCTACTGAGACCTCTTTTGACCAGTACTCGGCTATTCTGGGCAACTCATCCTCAGCAATGGGCGGTGCAGCCACAAACCGACGGCCGCCGCCACAAAAAGCACAATTCGTTTTCCAAAATGCCTGATTATTCCAAATTCCCATTTCTTTGCTTTTCACTCTAACTTTACAGGGTAATACTTTGGAACATTCTACTTCAACATCATTTGTACATATACTAAGCCATTGTTTGGTGAGGGGTCGTGGTTATGCCACTTATTAAACATGTCTGTATGAAAGGCTATTTCAACGGCACAAATTTTAGGGTGGTCGTCGACTAAATTGAATGCTTTGTGGTTTTTTATAGCTCCACAATTTAAGCCTCAACATTTTCTACCGATTCACTTAAGCTGACTATGAACACGTCGGTATTGTGGGGATTTTGATGCAAATCCGGATTTTGGGAAGGTGTGACAGAATGTTTCAGTAGGAATTCCTGAGTTTGAGACCACATTGTTAACAACGCAAAGAGTAACAACTGCACCGAGAAAATATCCTTGCCAAATTGTGCTTCCCTTAGTGGAGAAGCAAAAGTTTAATAGAGGGTGGAGGAGGTTAGAAGATTTTTTCCACTATGATTTCGGATTGAAGAAGGATACGGTAATAATAAAGAACAATGATAAATTGTAATTGCAGAGAATTTTCTGATTTTCGACCAGATATCAGACAGGTGCGCCTCAGCGTAAGTTCCTAGGTTTTCCCTTCGAAGGCAGCAACATTTGAAAATCAACAAAGACAATTTCTTCTAGATTACTAGAAAACATTTATTCATGGGTCTTTTCTTTGGTGTGATGATATATTAAACCTGCATCTAAGCTAGGAGAGTAGAACAAAAACGTCCAGAATGAGGGGCAATTGTTATTAAGGACATAATTTCGTTAAAGCAAGTAAATTCAGAGGATTAATGGCAATTAACACGACGTCAAACCAACGTATTATGTTTGATAAGGAGTTTAAGTTGTCTCGTCGAATGACACGGGCGACTTTGACTAGTTTCCTGGGCGTGCACAAATCCCCACTTAATGAGCTTAGTGTGAATCTTTTAATGCTGTCAATCTGCAACTTTGGACAAAGTCAGCAAAATTTTAAAAGATACGCAGAATGGTTGCAGACATACCGAGAACTGAACCGAAACTGGAAGGATTCGAACCCTCCTTTAACAGCGTCTCTTTTTTCTATCGTAAGTAGACAATGATGAAATGTGGTTTGATTTATTATTTCAAGCTTCTTACGTATATTAGACCCCTTTTGTGAGTACATTGCAGATAAAATTATTTTAAATTGTAAGTTCTTGGAACATCATCCGTGATGTAACCGGGTAACTAAAGGTCACTCATGGAGAAAATTTACGTTTGACGCGTCTGAAAATGTAGATAGTGCAGAGACTTGTAAAAACACTTTCGCGGAATCCCTCCTGACTTAAAATAGCACTCACTCACACAGGTAAAGGTTATTTTCGACCCATTAGTGCATCTCGTTTCATAAAAGGCAATTTGGTTCATAAATTACGCAAAGAGAGACAGTCACTCCCACTACCAACGATAACCGTAAGTTTTTATTGCAATTTTTGTAGTGGTGGGTCCACTGTGAATAAGTACCCAGCCAAATTATAGGAGATGGATGAAGGGGTGTAGGGCCTAAAAGTGCACATTTCTTCCTTTTTACATTAGCGGACAGTAGGTTCGAACCCTGGGCAGGCTGTTCTGATGACTACAGCGACAAAGCAATCTAATTTTGTTGAAACCCATAAATTTCCTCTCAATTTTCGAAATGAATTAACGTAGCTTTGCCTCAGCAATTGCATCAACTAAGCCTACTATATTAACAAAGTGTGGTTCCTTATGTAGGATTTTCGCCTACAATCATTCAATGAATTCCTTGAACGGTGCACTACAAAATTTAAACAGCACATATGTCCTCAGCTTCGAGTTCCTGATGCTTTTAAAACTCTGCCAAATTACCACAATTAATTCTAATCCCACTAATATAGGTACAATCACGCCACATTCAATAGGGCAGGCCCGTAGATAAATGTCTTCAATTGACCTCTGCAAAGAAACGCATGTGAAATTTGATCGAACTTAATCACTCGAAAATAACAAACACATACCGCGGAGGCAGCTATATCAAAGCGACCCGTAACCTGATTTATAGAACATCCAAAAAACAGAATCACGTCTTGTTCATTTGCCCGGCGTAAAGTCCTTCATCAATTCGTCAAAAGCCAGCGACTGTCTTGTGTGTTAGCATAGCTGCCGTCAGATGTCGGAAAAGATCGTCCTGGATGGCAAATCAGTCTTGTCAGAATGGTCTGACTAAAAAACTAAGGAAACCAAATTAAGGTCGCCCTTCCAATGGGTTCTCAGTGGTGTAAACTTATATGGTTTTAATTTTTGCCTCTAAGACGCGAGTTTGCTTGTGTCTGAATGCAGAGCAAATCCATGCCGGGAGGTTTGCAACATTAAACTACAAAATGCCAGTTCGTTTGCAAATAGGTTTTTTCTGGTTTATCAAAATGGACTAAGTTCGTGACTAGATTGTTTCAGGATAACATCTCAAAATACCCTTCTAGGCAGTATGGCAGCATCGTTACGCACCTAATAATATAAAAATTTTCCGGTCTTCACAAACGGTATTAAAACAGGTTGGCCATAGGATCTCCTCGTTTTCTATCTCATGAATGTGCCGATTCCTTCCTCGAGGTAATGCTTTCGCTGTGTAGAGTGTTTTACTGAAATCAGAGATGAGATGTCTTAGTTTATTCATCTCAAATTCTGCTCAAAGTAAACGCAGCCCGTCCCCTGTCAAATATCAAATTTGCCTTTTTTGCTTACTGTGTCCATGTTTAGATTATCGCTTACTTCAAGCAATACTCTACCAGGATGTAAAGCCACTGCCACATAGTAAAACTCCAATGCTGCATGTGATTAGCGTGAGGAAATTAGGATCATAAAGTAATGGAAAGATATTTTTCCGTCAATGCCTCAGGTATCTCCCTCGTGACCTACCTTTTAAGATCTCGTTGTCAATCGCGTTGGTTCACACTCTTTAATCCGTCCCTCCAGCCTCCGACACAATGTTCCCCTTTTCGCAGCATTCTGTCAGCCTTGCGGATCCTCAACTCCCCCCTGATTAGCGCGAACGATTATCTTAGATTATCCTCACACCTAGGTCTCGAGGTTAGCTCATCTGTGACTCACACATCTAAGCCAACTACAACACAACGGCACCAACTTGGTTGAGCTCTGAAGTAAATGGTTGTGGTCACGTTCTCTCCGGACTTCTTCCTCATTGCCAATAGTAGGGAAGCGAAATCGGGCCAGATCCAACTCAGTGACCCCGGCGTGGTTCGAGACCACATACCGGGGCCCACAACAATCTTGATCAGCTTATTTCCCGAAATTTTTGGGGTAACGACTCATCATCTATAAGACATCCGCAGTGAATGCGTCTCAAATAAATGCAGTTGATTTGCTTATAATAACCACAGGTTTAATGGCTTTTTTTTAAACATTATATCTGAAATCACCTACCTACGTTGCTCGTGGCAATCTAATAAATTTGTAATCAGATAGCGATAGTTTTCGCAGGGTTCGTTGATCATAAATTTCAAACCAAATATACTTGGCCAATGCCCGTTCCCTGATGACCCCTAGGCTGTATGTCGCAATTCCAATGTTTTTTTTTTTACGTGGCATGCCAGTGTAGTCAAAACCACTCTTTAAACCCCATAATTTAAAAACCGTGACGTGATTGACGTGATTCTGACGTGATTGCATACTTGTGATCGTTTGTCTTCACGCTTGACCTCATTCAGTGTTTATGACTCCCCTTGATCCTCTGTCTGTTTATACTGTACCTTCACCACTCAGGTGTTTCTACATCCCCTGAACCACACTCAACGTGTTCTATATCATTCTCCCGTCTTCCGACAATCGGCTGATAGTCATTTGTCACCAGAAATGCAGTATACACTTCCCAACAGCATCGACACAGTGATTCTGCTACCGGCATGTCCCTTACATTGATTGCAATATAACATTAGTACTTGACTTATGCTGGTCATACACCCTCTTCGTAAGTAATAGTTCCATTCAAGAAATGAATAAAAAAGCAGTAAGGTAGCCCCAAACTCTTATCCTCATGTATTTGCTTCCTGTTTTATCTCGAAGTGGTTAAAATTTGAGAGAAAGAGCAACGTGTGGATGTTCTTACGGTCCACTGGTCTTTGCAGCACGTCGTCCGGTTTTGAGTGCACGTTTGTCAGCACCCCACAATCCCCTTAATTATCAGCTGTTTAAAAGTGGGAACTGCTTTCATTTTGACCTGGCTCGTGGAGGTAGGCCACGCCTTAAGCACTCAGCTGAGGGAGTCTCTTTAGTGAGAAGATGGGAACGAGAATCCGGAAACGGGGTTTCACCTACAGATAGTCACAAAACGGCCCTCCTTCACACGAACGGAAGACGCTAATAATGGCGTAGAGCTCAGGCCGAGTTGTCAGGACGCAGAGACCTGTGCGTACAATACCGATTCATTTCAGAGTACCCGTGCAGTTGTTCGTTAGATAAAAATGAAATGTACTTTTGTAGCAATTACCTCAAGGTCCGAAGTGGATCCCGCCTTCGCATTCTAAGTTAAAATCTACTTCTGATTGCGGTCCACTGATTTACAAGATTTCCAGTTTAATGGTTATCCCGACCACTTTTCTTTGTGAATTTTAGTGTGACTTGTGAGGATCAGTCTGCCCTCCAACATGCTATCAAATTTAGAATCAATACATTAAAGGATTTTTTGGTTCATTATAGAAATGTGACACTCGTGAGTATGTGCGACAGCTTGGAAAACTACTGATTAGTCATGACTTAAGTTAACATATCAATTAAGAAATTAAACTATCATTTCAGTCAATTTTAGACTCAACATTTCAATCCAGTTAAAATGCCAGTCAATCTGGTGTGAATTGAGGTGATTTGGTGTATCGGGTGCTACGGCCGTGGCTAGCTAGCTCTGTTTTAAAGGCTTTTTAAGGCTTGGAGTTTAATTTTGATCACAACGCAGGTTGGAACTACCTGAAGTGAATAAAGTTTT